GAAGTTTCAATCGCACTGTACGTGCGTGCCCATACATGGTATTTTGTGGAAGAGCCACACTCAAGGAGCCAAAGAGCCGCATGTGGCTCGCGAGCCGCAGTTTGCCAACCACTGGTCTAAACCCCATTTATCCTTACTAGAGGGAAACATTTCTTCTGTGAAGGGAATTGACTCATTGTGCATGGACTCATTTGATGCCCCCAGTCTGGCAAATAGGGGGTGATCACGTTGGGTAAAACTGACCGCTGGGGCACAAAATGAGGTGGGCATAGAAGCTGTTTAACGGGTCTATTACATGGCTTGTGAGAGGCTGTGACTGGTTCCTCCATGGGCGCCAGATGTGCCAGGGACAGCAGCATCCACATGAGTTACTGGAGATGAGTTACAGAAGAAGGTCTGAGTCCGGTGGGAAGTGTGGCTTATCGGCTTATCGGCGGTTCTCAACCTGTGGGTCGCGACCCCTTTGGCGGTCAAACAACCCTTTCACAGGGGTCGCCTAAGACCATCCTGCAGATCAGATATTTACATGACAATTCATAACAGTAGCAACATTGCAGTTATGAAGAAGCAACGAAAATAATTTTATGGTTGGGTCACAACATGAGGAACTGTATTTAAAGGGCCAGAAGGTTGAGAACCACTGGCTTAGCTGAAGCCATCAGAAGGTTGACAGGCATCAGGTGTCATTGATTGACAGTTTCTCTCCCAGTGTTTATCCTCAGAGTCGTGAGGGCTATGGCTGCCCTGTGCGGGTTGTTCTCTCTCCTCCCCCCGCTCCCAGCCTGGCCCGCCCTGGAACTTACACAGAGGACCGTGGAGTAGAAGAGCAGGGCCAGGGGCGTGAAGAGGTCATAGGAACCCTTCTCTTGGACCTGTGGAAGAGGACAGGAGAGGAGGGTGAGGCTCACTCACGGGTGCAGAACAGAGCAGCGCGTCCTTGTTTTATTGTTGTTTTTTTAAATACATTTTTATTGGTTTCAGGGTGGAAGGGAGAGGGAGAGAGAGATAGAAACATCAATGATGGGAGAGAATCATTGACTGGCTGCCTGCTGCACACCCGCCGTGGGGATTGAGCCCACAACCTGGGCATATGCCCTGACTGTGACCTCCTGGTTCATAGATCAATGTTCAACCACTGAGCCATGCCAGCTAGGCTAGTCTTTCTTTCTTTTTTCTTTTCTTTTCTTTTTTTCAATGAAAAGCAATGCAACCACGAGACAAAATTTGGAAAACAGAAATTAGAAAAAAACTCCATGCACGATGGCCCCTTCCAAACTCAACCACTGCTAAAGTTTCAACGTATTTCTCCTTACAGTGTTTCCCTGTGTATTTTCCTCTGCAAAGTCTTCATAGTGTGCATATTTTTACTCTTAATGTCTTTTACATGTAATATTATAGATGAATTTCTGTTTTGTTACATGATCTCTAAGCCCACCTCTTGTTCCCCTTCTGGTTATACATTTACCTGTTACCTGTATTGTAAAGTGGGTTTTTTTTCCAGTCTGTTGTTTGCTTTTAAATGTATGGATTATTTGTGTACATGAATTATGTGTTAATTTTTTCCTTCATGGATGTTTGCTTTGTCATGCAAGGATCATGTGAATACTCATGTATTTTCTTTGAAGCTTTATTTTCTTAAATTTAAGTCTTTAAGACATCCAAAATTCCATTTGCTGTATGGTATGAATTAGGATTCTCACTCTGTGTTTTTCCAAGTGTTTCATCAATTTCCCTGAAGCCATTTAATAAATATTACTGTTGTAATTTTATTACATATTCAATTGTGTTAATACCCTTGGATAGTATCCATTATTTTATTAGCTGTATAATATTCCTTCTGGTAGATACCTATACTGTATTAGTTTCATTTTAGACATTTGAGGTCATTTCTTGCTATTTAATTACTTTTGCAATGAAAACCTTTGAGCAAATTTCTTTTTCTACAGTTTGTATGGTTTATCTAGGATACAGTTCAAGAAGTGGAATCAATCGAGATGATAAACATATTTACTATCTTTTGAACATATTGCCCCATTGCTTTCCAAAAGGATTTTGCCATTTATAAGATCTCATGTGTTTGAAAGTGCCAGCTTCAGTACAACCTTCTCTGCATTGCTTATTATAATTTTTTGCTAATTTGCTAGGCAAAGGCTGTCTCAATATGGTTTTAATTTGCATTTGTTCTATGATCACAGGGGCAACATTTTTCCTGTATATGTTTAAAGTTCTAGTTATTCTTTTGTGCCCTGCCTTTTTAAAAAATATTTTATTGATTTTTTACAGAGAAGAAGGGAGAGAGATAGTTAGAAACAATGAGGAGAAAGAAACATCGATCAGCTGCCTCCTGCACACCTCCTACTGGGGATGTGCCCGCAACCCAGGCACACGCCCCCGACCAGAATCGAACCTGGGACCCTTCAGTCCGCAAGCCGACGCTCTATCCACTGAGCCAAACCGGTCAGGGCTGTGCACTGTCTCTTTTAGAGTGCTCACCCACCACAGCACATACACACCTGAGCCCGGGTTTTATATTTCTTCGGCCTTTCAGCCCCGTCGAGAGCTCACAGGCTGAAGCCTCAGTGGCAGCCCCACATCCCCGCTGCCTGGTGACCTCGCAGGCTCAAATTTAAGGTTCTCCTTTTCTTTTTCCTGAAGAGACCATGTGCCTGCTCCCCTGTCACTGCACAGTAGTTGATCCTTTACATTTGGGTTGTGCGTTAAGCATTCCAGGGGAGGGTCAGCTCTCCTTAGTGGGTTTGCGTATAAACGCACCAGGCAAATGGCGGTGCTAGAGCTGGGACCTTGGGAGTCTTGATAAACCAGTATAGTGGGGCCTTGAGTTTAATTCGTTCCATGACGGAGCTCGTAACTCAAATTACTCGTATGTCAAATCATAAAGTGAACGAGTGAGACACGTGATGGTGGGCTGATGTTGTGGCGTTCACTGTGACGTTCGCTGCGCCAACTAGCGGTGGGGTATCTGAAGCTGGCTCATAACCCGAATTTTAGCTCGCAACTCAAAGCAAAAAATCGGCCAAGAGACGGCTCGTATCTCGAAAAACTCATTAGTCGGGACACTTGTAAGTCAAGGCCCCACTGTACTTTCTTCTTATAGGTAAAGGGTCAGCTAATAGAGAAAGGCCAATGTTTTGCAACTCAGTCATGTATTAAAAAGCAAAACTTTAGCTCAGCTGGTGTGGCTCAGTGATTGAGCGTCAACCTATTACACCGGAGGTCACAGTTCGATTTCCAGTCAGGACATATGCCCAGGGTGCAGGCTGGATCCCTAGTAAGGGGCATGGAGGAGGCAGCCGATCAATGATTCTCTCATCATTCATGTTTCTATCTCTCTCTCCCTCTCCCTTCCTCTCTGAAATCAATAAAAAAATTTAAAACACACACAAATAACAACAACAACAAAACTTTAAAGAGAATTCTTCAGGAAGGAGCCATAATCCTCCTTAGGGACGCGGCTGTCCCGGAACCCCAGCCCAGCCCAGCTCTGACGGCACTCTTCCTCTTAGACGTGAAGGCCCATTTATTGACCTGTTAGAGGGGTCTCGGTTTACCTCTCTAATCAGTCCTTGTTTTCATGGATCTTTTTGAAGAAAGGAGTCCAGCAATGCTTCCTGCCCTTCTCTAGTCGATACCTTGACATACACGCAAGCAGCTTAAAGGGCCCTGGCTCACATACCACGTGTTCTCATTGCGAGGCCCACATCCCTGCCCAGAACCCTTCGATCCATGGCTGACACCGAGCTCGCAGGTTCCCAGAGCCTTTGCCAAGCCCCTCGGCGGCCCAGGCACCCAGATCCAACATTCTGTGGGGGCCTCTTTCTTGACCACGCGGCTGATCCCAGCTCACCGTCACCCCTGGCCAGCCTCACCTCTTGTGTCTTCTGCAGGATCTGCTCCAGGAGGATGAGGAAGTGGCCCGGGTCCCTGCTGACCAGCTCCTGCAGGCTCCAGCAGTTCAGACACAGCCCGGCTGGGAAGGGAACGGCCAGTGGTCAGATTCCTTTATGAAGTAAGAGGCTCCGAAAATCGTATCAACACTCAACCCTATCGTGCCCATTAAGACATAATGGCAAGTTTCTTATTCTTGGAAACTCAAGAGACACAGAGAGGGCTTGGGGTCCCCCTTAAAGGCCAATGAGCGGCCCTGATTCTGGTCCCCGTACCTCCCCCCAGAGGGCACCAGGTCTCTCACCACCACCTGCTCCGCTTCCTA